AAACACACATCATCTAAAATTAAAATTACAATTGACGAAAAACAAAACCTTATGTGAGTGTCTCGACCATTTTGGTGATTCTGCACAATTTGCAACTGTAAAACAAACGCTCGAGATGGCTGCCCAGTTGGTTTTCGCAAATCAATTACCTGGAGAAAAAGCAAAATTTGCAAAGGCAATTACTAACTTTTTTATAAATGCGAGTAAATTTATGTAATGGCTGGAACTAAAAGTCATTTTCCGATTGCGAAAAGCAGAAAAAAAAGACGAAAGGAACAAAAATTTCGATGGTTCATTGAAAAATAATCCCACAAAGTCAAAAGGCTTTTTCAGATTAGTAAAGAATGTTTACACTGATTAGCATTATGGATTTCGCATCAACAGAGATAATTCGATGCATGTGCACTATTCCTTAGGGACAGACAAAGTGGCCGTTAATTTTTTGACACCGCTCATTAATGCAAAATGATTGCTTAATGCAACGATGGTCGGCGCGAAGATGCGTTTTTTACACAGTTCTTCCCCAGGTCTTCGTCGCTAACGGCAATGTTTTTTTTTCCGGTAGATGCTTCCAGCTAAAAGAATTGAGACTGGCCACTACGACTGCCAGGAAGCATTCCCTTAAAATTTCAGCTTTCTAGCTTTCCTAGCTTCCGATTTAGCAATCAATACAAAAGGCAGTACGGGCCTAAAAGGCCCTGTGAAGAAAAGAAGGGGCCGGAACAGCGGCCCAACAGCGAAGGGTATTTGACGGAGTAACCGCACAAATCGTGCATGCAATAGGAAAATGCAGGGGTGGGGTGGTAATCGCCGAAGGTCTGTGGTGAAAATGAAAGAAAGAAAATAAAAGGGTCAAACTGTTGTGACGAATACTTTTTTTTTTAAAAAATCAGGGTGGAATTTAAAAGTCATATGAAGAGAAGTATGTAAATAAGCCTGCCTGCCAAAAATTTTCATGAGCCCGTAAGTGGAAACTACGTGAGCATGAACGTTCATTCAAAGTCGGTGAAAATATGTACAGGTACCCGTATACACTGACCTTTCATCTATATGTGTTTTCTGTTTCATTGATAATGCAAAAAAAACCCCCAAAAAACTTACTTGCCAACCGACTGGCTCAGAAAACATGAAAGTAGCACCTTCATCGAGATCGATAGCCGATGGACCAAGGTGCACGACAACCCTACAAAATGAAATTACGCTTAAAAAATGAAGTTCCAAAAATAAGATCAATTTCAAAAAAAAAATTCTAATTTGCCCATCGTCTAAGGCGACAATTTTGCAAATCGGTAAAAAAAATAACAAAGTTAATTTTCGGTAATGCAAAGACTAATAGCTACCCCCAAAACCATCAAAATTAACGCTGATTGCTCAATAGCCAATAATTTCCATCGCTGCTTTTTGTTAACCAAATCCAATGCTAAAAATGAATGTGTAGGGTTAACTGAATGTATTACACAATTAATTTAACCCTAACTTTCACGAACTTCAATTACCACAATCGTCGTACTGACGAGGTCCAATTGTAGTAATGGCAAGAAATGTATACG